AGTCCCGGGACCTGAGAACACGGCGGTCAAGATCTCGGCTTACGCAGATGACACATGCATCGTCCTCAACGACGCGCACGACGTCTCCGCACTCTGCTAGGTGGTTGCAGTGTATGAGAGAGAGAGGGCCTCCTCTGCCAGGGTCAACTGGGCCAAGTGCGAGGCCCCTTCTGTGTTTGGGGTCACGAGGCAGCGTGCGCTCTGTACTCCTCCCAGGAGGAGTCAGTTGACGGGACGACGGAGTCAAGTACCTGGGGGTTCACCTGGGGAAACCACACGTTCTCAATAACTGGATCGAGCTGGCCGACACAATCGAGGCTAAACTACTGCCATGTGCACGCCTCGATCTGCAGATGTCTTTCAGGGGCCACATACTCTTTGCTAACACCCTGGCAGCATCCGTGCCATGGCACAAGACCAAGGCCTTCCAGCCTCCTGCTTGGCTACTCACCAGAGTCAACCGCTCACTCGCGCACTTTGTCTGGCACGGGAAGCACCGGCTCAAGCCGGGTGTTCTCTGCCTGCCAGTGGGCGAGGGTGGCCAGGGTCTGGTGGACGTCACCGCCAGGGTCATGAGTTTCAGGCTCGTGGCCGCAAGGCGGCTGCTGTATGACCAGGAGGAGCTACCCTGGAAGTCGCCGGCCCTCGCCCTGCTGAGGAATGCAGGGGGGTGCCTGGGGTACGGAAAGGAGCTCTTCCTGATGGACCTGAGCCTGGTCAACTACATAAGGCTGCCAGGTTATCACCAGAGCCTCTTGGACACGTGGCGGAGCTTCGAGTGGAGCGGAACGTGCGTGGCGCCCTATGACCTCGTGCGGTTCCTGAACGAGCCCTTGTTCTGCAACGGCCTCTTCCAGGGGACCAGAGGAGAGAGGACCCTGGCTCTATGCCTCACATCAGCAGGGCTGCGGACAGTTTCCCACCTCGTGCAGGCCCACCAGCCCAAGTGGAAGGCCGCAGCTGAGATCGCCAGCACCGCTAGGGGACTCCGCTCCACGCTCGCCGGGGAGAAGCTGCTGCGGGACGTGCTACGTGCCATGAAGGAGCTGCGCCTGAAGCTGGAGGCGCCGGGGGACAGTGGCGGCCCACCCCCCCCCCCCCTCGAATGCGGGGGAGCCGGGAAAAGCCCCTCTCTGTACCAGCGTGGACGGCACCCTCACGTTCACCTTCTGAAGCGCTCGCTCGTCACCGTAGAGTGCGCGACGACCACCACCACGTGACTTTTATTCTGTGTTGTGTGCAGCGCATTTAGCGCCACGGCGCCTGTGGTGTTTTTTTGTGTTTTTTGCTGTTGGTGACTTTGTGTATTTCGTATCGGAATCGCCTCCAGTGCGGTTGCTGCTGGCGGCAATACAAGTTGTTTAAAAGTCAAAGTCTGTCTCTGTCTGTCTCTCCCTCTCTCATTGTCACGCAAGGAGCCGTCAGCGAGCCTGACGTGGGCTACGGATCAAGAGGAGGTGGCGATGATGATGCTGCTGCTGCTGGTGGTGGTGCAGGAGGGAAACCATCTCTCTTCAGGGCCATGCTGCGCACATACAGGAGGCCTCTGATCGAGAGTGCGATCTTCAAGCTGATCTACGATCTCCTGGTGTTCGTGAATCCCCAGATCCTCAAGTAAGAGGCGGTGCCCCCAACATGGCCAAACCTTCACGGCCACCGCAGTCTCACTCTCCGTGTCTGCCTCTGTTTCTCTCATTCTCTGTCTCTCGGTGTATCTCTGTCTCACTCTCCGTGTCTCTCTGTTTCTCTCATTCTCTGTCTCTCGGTGTATCTCTGTCTCACTCTCCGTGTCTGCCTCTGTTTCTCTCATTCTCTGTCTCTCGGTGTATCTCTGTCTCACTCTCCGTGTCTGTCTCTGTTTCTCTCATTCTCTGTCTCTCGGTGTATCTCTGTCTCACTCTCCGTGTCTCTCTGTTTCTCTCATTCTCTGTCTCTCGGTGTATCTCTGTCTCACTCTCCGTGTCTGTCTCTGTATCTCTCATTCTCTGTCTCTCGGTGTATCTCTGTCTCACTCTCCGTGTCTGTCTCTGTTTCTCTCATTCTCTGTCTCTCGGTGTATCTCTGTCTCACTCTCCGTGTCTGTCTCTGTTTCTCTCATTCTCTGTCTCTCGGTGTATCTCTGTCTCACTCTCCGTGTCTCTCTGTATCTCTCATTCTCTGTCTCTCGGTGTATCTCTGTCTCACTCTCCGTGTCTGTCTCTGTTTCTCTCATTCTCTGTCTCTCGGTGTATCTCTGTCTCACTCTCCGTGTCTCTCTGTTTCTCTCATTCTCTGTCTCTCGGTGTATCTCTGTCTCACTCTCCGTGTCTCTCTGTATCTCTCATTCTCTGTCTCTCGGTGTATCTCTGTTTCACTCTCCGTGTCTCTCTGTTTCTCTCCTTCTCTGTCTCTCGGTGTATCTCTGTCTCACTCTCCGTGTCTGCCTCTGTATCTCTCATTCTCTGTCTCTCGGTGTATCTCTGTCTCACTCTCCGTGTCTGCCTCTGTTTCTCTCATTCTCTGTCTCTCGGTGTATCTCTGTCTCACTCTCCGTGTCTGTCTCTGTATCTCTCATTTTCTGTCTCTCGGTGTATCTCTGTCTCACTCTCCGTGTCTCTCTGTTTCTCTCATTCTCTGTCTCTCGGTGTATCTCTGTCTCACTCTCCGTGTCTGTCTCTGTTTCTCTCATTCTCTGTCTCTCGGTGTATCTCTGTCTCACTCTCCGTGTCTCTCTGTTTCTCTCATTCTCTGTCTCTCGGTGTATCTCTGTCTCACTCTCCGTGTCTGTCTCTGTATCTCTCATTCTCTGTCTCTCGGTGTATCTCTGTCTCACTCTCCGTGTCTCTCTGTTTCTCTCATTCTCTGTCTCTCGGTGTATCTCTGTCTCACTCTCCGTGTCTGTCTCTGTTTTCTCTCATTCTCTGTCTCTCGGTGTATCTCTGTCTCACTCTCCGTGTCTCTCTGTTCTCTCATTCTCTGTCTCTCGGTGTATCTCTGTCTCACTCTCCGTGTCTCTCTGTTTCTCTCATTCTCTGTCTCTCGGTGTATCTCTGTCTCACTCTCCGTGTCTGTCTCTGTTTCTCTCATTCTCTGTCTCTCGGTGTATCTCTGTCTCACTCTCCGTGTCTGTCCTCTGTTTCTCTCATTCTCTGTCTCTCGGTGTATCTCTGTCTCACTCTCCGTGTCTGCCTCTGTTTCTCTCATTCTCTGTCTCTCGGTGTATCTCTGTCTCACTCTCCGTGTCTGCCTCTGTTTCTCTCATTCTCTGTCTCTCGGTGTATCTCTGTTTCACTCTCCGTGTCTCTCTGTTTCTCTCATTCTCTGTCTCTCGGTGTATCTCTGTCTCACTCTCCGTGTCTGCCTCTGTTTCTCTCATTCTCTGTCTCTCGGTGTATCTCTGTCTCACTCTCCGTGTCTCTCTGTTTCTCTCATTCTCTGTCTCTCGGTGTATCTCTGTTTCACTCTCCGTGTCTGCCTCTGTTTCTCTCATTCTCTGTCTCTCGGTGTATCTCTGTTTCACTCTCCGTGTCTCTCTGTTTCTCTCATTCTCTGTCTCTCGGTGTATCTCTGTTTCACTCTCCGTGTCTCTCTGTTTCTCTCATTCTCTGTCTCTCGGTGTATCTCTGTCTCACTCTCCGTGTCTCTCTGTTTCTCTCATTCTCTGTCTCTCGGTGTATCTCTGTTTCACTCTCCGTGTCTGCCTCTGTTTCTCTCATTCTCTGTCTCTCGGTGTATCTCTGTTTCACTCTCCGTGTCTCTCTGTTTCTCTCATTCTCTGTCTCTCGGGTTATCTCTGTCTCACTCTCCGTGTCTGTCTCTGTTTCTCTCATTCTCTGTCTCTCGGTGTATCTCTGTCTCACTCTCCGTGTCTGTCTCTGTTTCTCTCATTCTCTGTCTCTGTTTATCTGTCCATCTCTGTATCTCTCTGTCTCTCTCCTTCTCTGTATCTCTCTGTCTCACTCGCTGTGTCTCTCTCTGTCTCTGTTTCTATCTGTCGTTGTCCGTATCTCTTTCTCTCTTTCACGACCTGTATCTCTCTTTGGCTGTTTCTGTCTCACCGCGTCTCTCCATCTCTCTCCATCTCTCTCTCGCTTATTCGAATGCTGGGGGGCCGGAAAAGGACTTTGCACCGGCGTGAACGTCGCCCTCCTTGTCACCTGGTCACGTGCTCGCTCGTTGGGCGTGGCCTGCGCGACGACGACCACCACCACGTGACGTGTTTGTGGTCGTGCGTGACGCGTTTCAGCGCCACGTGCCGCAGCACGTTGCTTTTTTGTTTTTTGGTTATTTTTGCTGCTGGTGACTTTGTGTTTCGTATCGAAATCGGCTCCAGTGCTGTTGCTGCTGGCAGCAATAAAAGTGATTTAAAAGTCAAAAGTCTCTCTCCATCTCTCTGTCCTTTTCTGTCTCCCTACCTCTCTCGATCTCTGTTTTCTCCTCGTCTCTCCCCCTCTCTCTCCATCTTTCTCTCCATCTCCCTCCATCTCTCTTTCCCCGTCTTACTCTTTTTTATTTAAATAACTTGCTTTATCTAAACCCCCACCTCTCGCTCAATCTCTCGTTCACTCTCTCGCTCACTCTCTCGCTCACTCTCTCACTCACTCTCTCGCTCACTCTCTCGCTCACTCTCTCGCTCACTCTCTCGCTCACTCTCTCGCTCTCTTCGTTTCTGCACGCAGCCCTTCTCGCAGTCCGACGGCCTCCGACGGGTAGCTCATAACTTGGCGTGGGTCAGCCGCGCATGGCGGAACTCCAGCCCACACACCCTGGCTCCGACCAGAGCGCGGAAGATGCCCAGGCTGCTGGCCGGGACGTTTCCCCTCCAGTGCCACCTTCCTCGCCCTGTAAATGGCGAGCTTGTCACTCTCTCTCTCTCCGTCTCTCTCTGGACAGAGCGATGATCTCCTTCACGGACGACCCACGCGTCTACGAGTGGAAGGGCTACGTCTACGCCGTGGTGCTCCTACTCACGGCGCTGCTGCAGTCCGTGCTGCAGCAGCAGTACTTCCTGCGCTGCTTCCTCATCGGCATGCGCTGTGCGCTCCGCTACCATCGGACTCGT